AGCTTTATTGCTATCACATAGCGGGCTAAAAAGCCCCTTATGTAATAGCACATATGTGACAGGTCCTCTTCATGGAGACGTCAGGGGTTTTTCATACCCCTAATGTCACCTAGGGACCCCAAAGAAGCTGATGAAGCAGAGATCTGCTTCACCAGCTTCTTCTTCTGGCTCTAAGGGGTTGTCCACACCACTTGCAGTGCGTCCCAGGCCGATTTCAGCCGGAACACACTGTAAGTGGTCTGAACAGGCCCTAAGAGCCAGAGACTGTGTACAGTGACACCGGAAGTGATTTAATGCACATCACTTCTGGGTCCCGTGATCGGAGGAGAGATCCGCAGCTAGAAGCCACTGATCTAGTGCCTGCGTCCCGATGCGGTCAAAATAGTGCTTGCAGTATTTTGACCGCACAACACCGGAACGCACTGCAGGCAGAATGTGCCCTGCGATCCTGTGCAGGCGATCAAATTGCGGCCGGCAGCACAATAATGAGCCAGCTGCATTGCGATGCAGTGCGTTCCGGCCGGAACACACTGTAAGTGGTCTGAACAGGCCCTAAGAGCCAGAGACTGTGTACAGTGACACCGGAAGTGATTTAATGCACATCACTTCTGGGTCCAGTGATCGGAGGAGAGATCCGCAGCTAGAAGCCACTGATCTCTCCTCCGATCTGTCAGGGGAGAACCTCCACGTGCGGCCTGGGCTCACACGAGGGACAGATGAGCCCAGGAAACTGACGGTGGCACCGGCGGCCGTGGAGGAGGGGGGCACAGCGACGCACCGTACAAGTGATTCAGCGCCTGTACAGACGCTGGATCGCTTGTATTTAAACAGCAATCGTCAGCTGTTTAACACGGTACAAGAACATGGCTTCAGGAGCAGCCGTGTTCTTGGTATAACCACTTCCAGCAGATGATGCACAATTACGTGAAAAAAAAACACATGTGTAATGAAACACGCACATATCACACACAATCATTAAAAAACACACACATAGCTTCATAAAAAAAAAAATCACACACATTCATTAAAACACACACAATAAAACACACACAATAAAACACACACACAAATTAACAATTAAAAGTTATTTAAAAAACGTCCCCCTCTCCTGCTTACCTGTTTTGCAGGAAGGGGGGCAGCATCCCTGGGCTTCAGTGGAGACTCTGGCTGATGCAGGCATACTAATCGATCCCTGCCTGTTAGAACTTAGCAGAGGCACCACGAGGGAGCGATCAGTATGATCTGCATTAGCAAGACATGCAGATCATGCTGATTCCCCACTTGACAACCAGGGAATTATTTTCATTCAATATATTGCCTGTTCGGCTAAACATTAAATGATATGTAAGCAGCTCCATAGGCGACAGCTCTTGTTTAACTCCTTCCCGTTGAAGTCTTGAATGAGTTTCTGCACCTTAGGAATACGTGTAGAGCCTCCGACTAGCACAATGTCATGAATCTGAGACTTGTCCATCTTGGCATCTCTCAGGGCCTTTTCAACAGGGTCAAGGGTTCCCCTGAAGAGGTCTGAACAGAGTTCCTCAAAGCGGGCCCTGGTGATGGAAGTGTAGAAGTCAATGCCCTCATACAGAGAGTCAATCTCAATGCTGGCCTGGGTGCTGGAGGACAGGGTGCGCTTGGCTCTCTCACAAGCTGTTCTGAGCCTCCTCAGAGCTCTCTTATTCTGGCTGATGTCCTTCTTGTGCTTGAATTCCTCCACAAAGTGGTTAACCATACGGTTGTCAAAGTCTTCTCCACCCAGATGAGTGTCACCCGCTGTGGACTTCACCTCAAAGACTGCATCATCAATAGTGAGGATGGAGACATCAAATGTACCACCTCCCAGGTCAAAGATCAGTATGTTGCGTTCACTTCGGCTTCCTTTATCCAAGCCGTAAGCAATGGCAGCAGCTGTGGGCTCATTAATTATTCTCAGCACATTTAACCACTTGCTGTCCGCCCGTTGTAAAAAAACGGACGGACGGCACTGCAGCATTGGCGGGTTGCCGTCTCCAGACTGCATGTTTTTTCTGCGCGCGCCCCCTAGCGGGCACGCACGGGCAGAAAAGACCCGACCAATGCAAACACCTGTTACCGGGTGTTTCACAAATAGACGATCGGCGGCTCCATAGCCCGTCGATCGTCTATATGTGCTCTGCGGCCGGGACCGGCTCGGAGGGCGTCAGGAGGAAGAGGACGGGAGATCAGCTCCTTGCTGATGTCCCTCCGTGCTGTGAATGCGGAAGTGATGTGTGTTACATCACTTCCGCATTCACCTGTCAGTCATCTGGCTGCTATAGCGAGAGAAAAGAAGCTGATGAAGCAGAAGGGAGGAGGACATATTGGGCCAGCACTGTACACAGGAAAGCTGCAGGAACCTTGCTGGGAACCTTGGCAGCATTCCTATGAACCCCGGAACCTGTTTACAGTGCTGGGTTCATTTTTAAAAGGGAGAGGGGCGAGAGCCACATCAAATGGCTGGCAGGCTGAATTCGGCCTTCTGTTTGACATATGTGCATGTATGAGGGGAGTTGATGCCTTAGGGGGATGTGCTGCATATAGGGGGATCTTTTGCCTGTAGGGGAGATCTGATGCCTGTAGGGGGATCTGTTGCCTCTAGGGAGGACCTTTTACCTCTAGGGAGGACCTTTTACCTCTAGGGGGGGATCTGTTGCCTCTAGGAAGGTCTGCTGCCTGTAGGGGGATCTGATGCCTATAGGGGTGTAGCGCTAGGGCCGGTGTAATATACGGGACTTCTGTCCCACACCAGTGATGACTCACCTTCACCTGGACCAAGTAACACTAATACACCTTTTACACTTTTGGATGGGCTTTATTAAACTAGCAAAAAGCCCTGGAAAAAGATAAACTGAATAACAGGATAACAATATCAAATACAATGATATGATACAACCGCTCAGCAGATTAAACCAGCATTGGTGTTTGTTCACTTTACCCGCCAGTGGGAGGCCTTGCCTGAAATGCACTGAGCGAGTGGTGAACGACACTGTAAGTTACAGAATACAGCGATACTGTTCAACAGGTATCTAAAAGCAATATGACTATAATAGCCTATCTAGGTCTTATAGGTTCTAGCTAACCACTGGCCAGTGGGAATTCCACACACACCCAAAGTCTGCATGCGTTGGGGCCCTTTAAATTCTGTGATGGAGTACTCAGCCTTTGGTAAACAATATTTGTAATCCTCAGGATGGAGAGGGGTATCTTCGCAGGGTAACAAATATTAACAAAGGTGGTGATCCCCCTTTAGATAGAGCTGCCTTGCCAGTTAATGGGATCTAGCAGGATTAAGCAATCACACAAGGATGGCAGAAGATCTCACAAGGATGGCAGAAGATCTCTCACCATTAGATGCACTTGATGTATCTTCCTTCCAGCAATTGGTATCTTGTCGCTGTCTCAGCCGACTGGATGGCAATGGGAGCAACACAGGCCACAGGATCTTCCAAAACAGGATGATGATGATGATTGCAGTACAGGAATCCGCCTCTAGATGTCACTGCACTGTTAGCACACCTTCAGAGATCAGGCATGGAAGGTAGCATAGTATTTTGAAAACACCCCTCTCAAGCCTGCACCTCCTTTTAGAAGTCTACACAGGAATCACAGACTCTGGCAGTGCACAGGAGACAAGCACAAGGGACACTTTCACCTGTCAGGCTGCAACATACCAGTCTGTGTCCCTCTCACTATGTCCTCCTCTCTCCCCTGTTCTCCTTGTGGTCTCTGTCCAACCAAAAAACGGCCTGGCAGCCAATCATAGCTCTTCTGGCTGCTATCCAATCAAGTAATTGCTTGCCTTTGTTGTTAGGGGTCGGCTTCCTTCTTAGCCAAAGCAGTAACCAATAGAGTCTCTCCTCCAGTCTCTGTGAGCTATCAGTTAAGCCAGAAGATGTAATGCAGTTTCAGAGAGCAATACTCTGCATATATTACAAAAGCAATACTAAGCCTGCGCTACAGGGGGATGAATGCGATGGTATTCGTCTGCATTTCTGTATCATGTATTGCTGGGATTCGTGTCCTCTATAGCTGATGGTATTCTGCCTTGCTGTATAATGTAGCTCCTGGGATTTGTAGTCCTCTATAGCTGGTGCCATCCTGCATTGCTTAAAGCCTGAAGACCCCCAGACGGGCACTTGGATGAATGTTCATAACTAAGAAATGGGAGGGGGGGGCAAAAAATTTAGTTCTGCCACGGGCGACTGTAGCTCTGGTTATGCCACTGGTCCCCAGTTATTTACAAGCACTGGAGTGATCAGACGATCGCTCCAGTGTTTGTCCTTCTCACACGGAGGATCGGTAAATATCATTCATATTTACTGATCCCCCGCTCTGGCACGCACAGAGCCGCTGTCATCCTGAAACTGACAGGATGACAGCGGCCCTGATCCCCGGTCCCCTTGTATCATTATTATTATGTCCACTGAAGTCATTATCATTATTATTATGTCCCCTGGTGTCATTATTATTATTATTATGACTCATTTGCCACATGATTGCCCACTCCCCTATTTTATCGAGGTCCTCCTGCAATGT